ACTCACGCAGAGAGTAAGCAAGTCGACCAACCACAGTCGATGATTCTTCTTACGACCCGAGAATAACCGATTGGTCGACTCTCTTAAGTCTCACTGCTTACGTTTTCTCTGTGTGCCATTCGCTTAACGGTGCTGTCAAAAGTTTCACGAGCGGGCACAACGGAACGGGAGGCGAGCCACGAAACTCGCGATCCACCAAGCGTAGAGCCCGATAAAAAGGGGTCCGGTCGGGAAATGGGGGCGGGGAGGCGGAAGAGGGAGGGGAAGAGATATATAAACAGAGGAGGGAGGATCTCTCGTTCGCACTGCGGGCGAAAAGCGCCGCTAATAAAAACGATGCTTACGACTCTCCGGCCTCCGCACGCTCCTCGGCGCGTTCGAGATCGGCCTCAACCATGGCCAATTTACGGGCGACCTGTATAAACGACACATACATACACGGTTTCTAACGTGTGTGCCCTCCTCCCCTCTGCCTCCTCGCGGCGACCTCGCCGCCTTCGAAAACGCGAGGCGACGTGGACGGCACGAGAGAAGCACCAACGCGACTCGCCGTCATCGTCGTCGTCGTCGTCGTCGTCGTCATCGTCATCGTCGTCGTCGCCGTCGTCAACGTGTCCGCGATTGGAAGAGTTACGGTCGGCACAAGGTTGCTTTCCTTATGCGCTACAAGTCCGTGGAGTCCGTGTCTTTCAAAACGATGCTCCCTTCCTGTCTTCGCGATGTGCAATTTGTTACGCTCTCTATGACCAATTTACTAATATAAAACCATCCGCTCTCGAGGACGCAAGATCGAAAGTTACGATTTTCAGCGGACGACCCAGTCGAATAGTGTGAAATAAACACGAGACAAGGATACTCGAGAAAATCTGTCATATCAATCCATATGTAGTTGATGAAATTTTTAGAGAATTTACTTCATTGCACGCTCTAACTTGTGCGTAGCTCTTCCCGAATTCGTGTCCGAATTAAAATCGCGTTATCAACGAAATTTGGTTAATGTAACTTTTATATGGAATATATTTCTGCTATATTCGCGCGTTTGAGCTTGCACAGTTCTCCCCGAATTCGCTACTTGAAATTCTGCAAATGCAGCGCAACTTCTTCCAATCGGGCACGCAAAGCCCGAGCGAACGAACGATCAGGAACGCAGCGTGCAGGTCGCCGCTCGCGGTGCTGATCGATTCGTCGCGTAACCGCACGCAAAAGTGCGACGTGTGATCGGCGTTGCGCCAAGGGAAAGATCGCGGCGAGACGACGGGAGGATTTGCTCGCGGAGATGATGTTGACCGTAACTCCAAATGTCGACTGTATGTCAGCTCAATCGTCCTGCCGCGCGCTCTTTCACTCGCGCAGCGCAACACTTCCGCGCAATCGTGACGCAACCAATGTCGTGAGTCGCCAATCTCCCCTTAATTGAGAGATTTGCGAGCCGCGCGAATTCAATCAATCGGCGTTTCGCGCGTCCAATTTTCCATTCTCTCTTGTCTAACAGTCGACAAGACCGTTTTTTGCACGCGAAACGATTGGCTCGGAAGGAGCCCGGAGTATACGAGCACTCAGCGTCGCAAAATATTACGTGACGTTTACGATAACTATCTCAGATCTCGAGAAATTCCGATCGCTCTCTACGACGGAGTTGCGACACGCTTTCGCGCAGTCATCACACGTGCGAAGAGATGATAAAAAATAAATAAAATATAAAAACTAAAAATTAACGAAGACACATCGGCACACTCGGTTGCTGTTAGCGCTTGTTGTCGTCTCGGTAAGTCTCTGCAATAATGTGTGGACAGTTAGATCGTTAATTGAGATGTTAAGAGGGGCGATCGAGGGAGGAGGATAGTCTACTATTGGGAGTAAACTGGGAGATTCGAGCAACACATCGCGATAGGATCGATTCATACAAACTCACACACACACACACACACAGAGATCGCTAGTTAGTTTGCGTACGCTGTTAATTAAAGACATTTCAGCGGATCGTCGTCGGCTGAAGAAGATAAAATCGGTTGAAGTTACGGTGAACGAAAGAATTCAATCGAACTGTCGCGCACACCGAGAAAAAGAAGACTCGTCAACTCATTTGCGGCATGTTAAAGCTTATTCGCAGAAATAGAGCTATTCATGAGCTCTGTCTCATGAAAATAAACTTCATGCGCCACAAATAAATTCCCAAGTATTCTCTCCTCGATGTACTTCGCGGGGACTTTTTTTTGCGAATCTCCAACGATCTCGAAGAAAAAGGCAAAATCACGATCGGTATATCTCTCACAATTAACGATGAAATAGAAAGAAAAAAATAGAAACAAAAAAATGAGCAGGACATGCGTGCGTTGATGTCGCGAATGAAATGTGGCGACATACTTATTCGTGTGTGCAAAATTTATTTCGTACAAAAATTCACTTGATATTAATAAGTTGCAGCACGATTGAGAAATTCGCGGTGCACGCGACCGCCAAGACAGACGGCCGGAAAAGAATCTCGAGCTATCTGCCGGTATCTTATCCGGCGCTATCGCGCCGGAAAACCTGCGTATCATCACCGTAATTTCAACGTCACCGCACCACCTACCATCTTCTCTCTTTCTCGCCTCACGATTCTCGTTAAATTTTTCGGCGCACGTTCCGAATCTCGCAGCGAAACGGAACGAACGTCCTCGGACGAACACACAGAAGCGGCACCATCATCATCGTAGTCGTCGTCTTATCACAAGCACAACTGGCGATCTCAACGATATCGCTCGACTACGTCCAAATCGGAGAGTCTGTCGCGGCTCTGTCCGACCGACGCGTTCACGACGGACCGTTTCGATGATTACAACACCCGGCGGAAGGATGAACTCTATAAAGTGCGTTTTCCTTGTTTCGCGAACCAACCTCGAACTCTCCCTCGGGAGGTCTAATCTAACAGTATTATAATATATACATGTTTAACAACAGGAGTAGCAACAGCATTAAAATTCTATTTTAAGAAACTGGCACTTGAGAACGCGCTTCATCTTTTGGCTGCCCGATAGCGAGAAAAAAAACACTGAAATCACAGACATCTGATTCGAGATACGATTAAAGTCGCGCTCGAAACCACGTGACACTGCATCATTGTCCCGTACGCGCGTGTATCCACCACTCTCCTTCTCTCTTTTTCCTTTCGTATCATTCGCTTCTCTTCTCCTCGCGTGACTCTCTCTCTCTTTCTCTTTCGAGATCCTCTACTGCGCGCGTAAAAAGTAAAAGAAAAAAAGAAGAGAAGGATCTTTGGAACACTGCACTGTCGTGTGAACACGTGAAACTCTTCTAACAACTTTTTCTTTTCCCCCTCCACTCTCTCTCTCTCTCTCTCTCTCTCATTCGCCGAGCTGGACGCGATGATCACACAGATCGATATTCACGATTCGTGTTTACCCTTTGTGCTCCTTCGAGACTTCACTCCGGCGGCGATGATCTTCGCCTGCTTCTTCGACTTCCTTTTACGATCGACGGCGGACGAGCTTATCGCGAGAGCGCGATCCGCGAACGAGTCGACGATCGAACGAGCGAACGAGCAACTAGCGGACGATGCTCGCCGGATGAAACTCATTTCTCGTGTCGCGTACGCTTCTGCCGCGGATAAGAATGCGCGTTTGTTTGTTTGTTTCGTCACGTGTCGCGAAGCACGACGGCGTACGACGTCGTTCTCTCCTCCCCGAACACACAACAGAGTAGAAGACAGAGAGTTACGGGGTTAGGCACTAGTTTGACTATCGACTAGGAACCGTTATCGTCATGATTATCATCGTCACTGCAGCCAACACGCTCGGCAGTAGCAGCCGCGGGCACGCGAACCTCATCGTATTTCTTGTCGGCTTCTTCGGCGAGGAACCTGGCTTCCTTCAGCTGGTTCTCGAGGGCGTCCATGCGCTCTTCGTCCGCCAAGCTGCGATTCTCGAGAATCTTGCGGGCGCTTTACAGGTGGGACACATGTCGAACGAAAGAGTATGCGATTAAAAATCAATCTAAATCAATCGGGTCGAGGAGTTTTTAGGAGATAGATATCGGAACGTGTGTGTGCGTGTGTGTGGTCGCGCCGACAGGCGTCTGCTCTGCTCCGCTCTGCTTTGCTCTGCTCAGCTACGGTGCACACCTGTGCGTCTACCTGTGAAATTGTACCTGAAAAGAGACCTGGGAGAGAAACTACCGATCATCCCGGACGCGATTCTTGGTACTCACGAGGAGCGACGTGTGTTTCTTAGCGAATGGCCGGCCTCTTCAGCCGCGCCGGAAATGGAATTTTTATTTCTTTGTCATCATCATTCATTTTTGTAGTAAATTGATTCACTATATTACATTTTATTATTTTGACGAAATTCATTTTATCACAATTCACTTCGTAGATCACATTTACTGCGTTAGTAAATTATTTACAAAGTGAAAATGTAGTATACGACTCATCGAAGCAAGAATGTAGCAGAACAAAATTTTTGCGAAAGTTTTTGAGCGGATGTGTCATGCTTTAACACATGAATATGATTTTATATACAAAAAACGAGTAAAAAATTTTACTTTTTTATAATTAATATAATCTTGTTTCAAAGTAGAATTTTCGGTTTTGTGAAAATAGATATAATTTCTCTGCTCTACAAGATTGCATTGAGACCTCGGAATATATATCCACGTCAATATTTGCTCAAGTTGCACCGTCGTGACGTCCCTACGATCGGTAGCTTATCCCCCGACAAAGGGAAACGAAGGGCCCTTCGCCCTTTTTTCGCTGGAGTACGTGACCCACCTCCTCGTATTTCTTATCCGCCTCCTCTGCGATCAGTTTAGCCTGCGCTAGCTGCTGCTCCAACAAGGATACCCGGTCGTCCTCCATATTGGTGCGGTTTTCGAGGGCCTTGCGTATCCTAGCGATCGATTATTTGTCGATTTTTAGAAACACAGGTTAATTCGCTGTTACAATTTCGCCTCCTTCCTCCCGGGCGCGATTAAGGCGAATACGAACGAAAATTCTGAGCCGTCCTACATTTTTTTTCTCGTTTCTCGAAGCGTCGTAAATCGACCGAGGTTTGCACGCGCATTTCAATTTCCGTGCCGCGATAGTCATGATAATCCGCTGCGCGACTAGCGAACGGGAAAATGCATATATCGATTATGGAATACACTTGACGGCGCTTCGTACGTAAGAAAGTGCCATGTGCCGCGGCGAGAAGCGCGGAGTACACGTCATCCCGTATCAACGGCGATAAAAGTGTGCCGATAAGCGTTATTTCGAGCATTTACGCACCGCGGCGAGGTAATCGTGATCGACGATTACACCGACAAAATAACAGACACATACAGTTATCGGCCGTCCGCGAGATATTAGATTCTCACTAAAAAAAAAAATGGTTTTGCGGAGCAAGAATGATCTACATACGAGAAATTAGTTAAGATGGATGAATGGTTAGCAAAAACGCTGCGAAATCGCGTGTGTTTTTGCATTTAATCGATATAGATGGTAGAGACGGAACTTCTCCATCTGTAAACCATTCTTGAAATTAGCAAAAAAGTCTCTCTATGGCGTTTATCCAAATCAAAACCGGTCACATTTTGTGTAAATATTGATTGTGAGAAACAATTGTGACTAGATAAAAAAGACAAGTTACGAGAGAAAAGCAAGTGTATAATCTTCGTCTAAATTTGCTTGCAGATATTGCTAGAAACTTTTGCATAATTTTAAGCATGTTGACTCAAGTGAAGTTCCTAATCGTTTCTTGAAAAAATTTTTCGTCGTGATCCTCTCTGTTTAAACGATTATTCACGCAACAGAATAAATAACCGGCGCGGTTTTCCGCCGGCAAAGTGAAGGAATATTAAAGCACGCGTCTCGCGCGTGTACTAAGAAATAAGTTATCGTCGCGGACACGCGGAATAGGTGCGTGCGCCGCAAAACACACGGCAGGATGTTGTGGTGCTCGACGTCCGCGAATTTACGTACCGCGAAGATATCCTTTGGCAATATGAGGAAAGGCGTTATCGCGAACCGCGTTGCGTTAAGTCGACGCGATCGTCTGCTCTTATTCTCGCGTCAATCAAACACCTACTCCTTCGTGTGTACCTGACGCGAAGGCTACAGGTCGACACAGCGATTATGGTCGCCCGGACGATTCTCGCACTTATCATAATTTCGCATTTATCGTGATTATATGCGCGCGGCTGGAATATTAAGGAATTACGTTTGGCTCTGTATCGGGCGCGCATTAGTCACTGCGAAATTGCCGGCGCACGTTGCATCGAGATCGTATTATTACGCCGCGGAAAGACAATCGGAGAGGTATCAGAAGAGTTTCTTCAGATTATCCCTCTTCCGTTCCGACAACCGACGGAGCACTCGTGCAGGCTGTCGTACGAAATAACAGAAGAACGATCAAGAGTGAGACGCACAGCTAAATTCCACAGGCGAACACACACGCGCTGATCACATCTAATAAATATTTCGATCAAACGTCGTGAATTATCGACACGTTCAGTTCGAGAAGTTTTTGTCAAAGACAATTCCATTAGCGTCCACTCTAAATCGTATACAACGTATAATACCTATACACTCTTGGTCGTTCTTCAAGTGAGAGGAAACAAAATACGGAACAATGAGCAATTATTTGATACCGACGCCAACAAGCATTGGTGTGCTCGCATCATCTCATGAATATTATCGATCCACTGGAATAATCATGCAGTGAAAGATTTATATTTGATACGCTGCTTGGATTTTTATGGATATTACGATGATATGATGTGACAAGTGGTATAGTTTGCGGATTATACGGTGTATAATTGCTCATTGTAGGTAATAAATATTACAAGGCGACTGTTAGGTACTCGCAGTATTTTTGGTCGCGGAGACTATCAGCGGACACTTACCGTTCGCTCTCATCGGCAGCCTGGGAGGCCTCCGCCAATTTGGCAGTGGCAGTGGCGAGACGCTCCTCCGATCTCTCGAGGTCCTCCTCCAACAATTGGATACGGCGATTCAAGGCGGCGACCTCGGACTCGGCCTGCAACACACAAGAGGAACCATGGCGCATGAAGCAATTGCATATTTGTTCTCTTTAGCTGAACTGTCTGAACTGATGCAATAAGTTAGAGTGAGACAAATATATCTTATTTCACTCGAACTTATTGCACCGGTTCAGCTAAAAGAATAGAGCTAACGTTGTGGAAAGTGCAATCGCGTCGTTCGTTATTCCGCAACGGTTATGGCACAGTGTATACACGATTGTCTGTATTATCTCGCTATCGACATTGACGTAGAACAATGCCGCTTTTGCGGTAATAAACTCGGACGGTTATACTCGCGGTAATTAAGGCCTCACGACGCAAGAGACGGGACGAGACGCAACGGAAACGACGAAATCAAACGAAGCGACGTGGTGGAACGAGACGGCTCTGATCCGCTATATCCTTCCTACGGGTTTCCACCCGCTGCGACATTGTAATTAGACGCATGTCGATGCCGGATTAGGTACAATCCAATCTAATGCGTGCAGCGCGTGATCGAAGCTGAACAAAGCATTCGAGCGGCTGGAGATCGCAGGGATCCCCACACTCGCGCATATATCAATGACCCGAGGGCCGCTTCACGTGCTGCATTATACAGTCGAACGAATCAAACGGATCATTGTGTGTGCACGCCATCGATTCCGACGAAACTTCCAATCTGTAAATACAGCGCTGCCTCAGCAAGCGCCAAGCAGCGAGATTCGTCGGCGGCAAGATAGAGGCTTCTTGTGTCGGGCTCGGAAAGTCGGATCGCTCATTATTAGATTAACGAAGTACAAATTGATTTTCCATGTAATCGATCGCGTTTGCGAATTAGTGGAAATTCGATCGGCCGATCGAGTCAGTAGTTTCAGTCGTTGGTTTGAGCGCTTCTTTTCAAAGATGTTTCTGAAATGTAGCTTGTAAAATCAGCACCTCAGCGCGAACGTATCTTCTTGCATTAATAAAGTTATTTTTGTTAAATGTTGTAACTTCGTAAAGTTTCTTTGAAGTTATATCTTTAACTTCAAGAAACATAATCTTCAAGATCATAATAAACATTTTTAAATAAAATTATAGACAAATACAATAATAATAAAAAATAAAATTATAATAAATTAATAAAGTTATATCTTTTCAAAGGTGTAACTTTAAAAAGATATAATTACAAAAGTAATCTTTATAAATATCTCTTTCCAAGTAGATGTCTTCCTTCAAAAATACGATTTTTTTTTAATTGAAAGTATTTATTTACAATATCTCGAAATCTGTAGTTTCAATACACTTGGGAATTTTTCCTTAATTCGTGCACGGAGAGAATTTTTACAGTAAAAGTTACTAAAAGATCTTTTACAACCGAAGAATAGATCAACATTCTTGCTACATGTTTATAGCGAAAACCATGTTCCTTGGTAGGATAGGCCTTATTGACAATCTATTTTCCTGGACTACTAAAAATGCAATAAAATTGAAAAGAAGATTCAGATGAAAAAAAAGTTAATATTCTCTATTCGTGAGTGACGTGAATTTTACGCAGTTTCAACCGTCGCATCCGCTATTGACGGATGAGTAAGTCTCAGATCGCAGACGAGCGATCAATTCCGGCCGTGATCACTTCCGAAAGGAACGACTCTCTCGTCGGGCACCGGCACGGAATTGTATTAGATGTAACGAAGCGTACGATTTTCACGGATGTAAATTACTTAACGGTCGATTACGCGTGTATCCGCGTACACAATTCCCGGGGCCCTTGTCCCCGTTAGCTGCACCTGTTACGATTGTGCGCCCAGCAAAATGATGGCCCTAATTCATTCCGCGCGCAGGGAACGCGTTCTTTCACGCGCTACTTTATTAACGATGCGTGAACCTCGTGTATTCACGGATTCGGCACGCCTACGCTCGTTTCACGGGGGCTGATGTCACAGCGAATTGACAACAACGATTGCGTAACCACTTGAACGTAACCGTGCTATCACGGACGGTGCTAACCACCAGTGTTATCCTCGCTCACGTCTATCGCCGGCGTCGCCGATATTGGGCGTCGTAATTCCTATGGACGCGATCCATTCGATGTTACAAACGCTTTGGAGAAGTTCCGGCCTAACTGCCGTGGCGTAAGGAAGTATTGGAACCTATTCGGGCGTGTTCTGTGATTTTTTTGGAAAATATCTCGCAATTATTTCCAAGGAACACCAAGGATCATCTATTATTTGGAGAATGACTTTGTCAGATTAACATAACACACATATTTTCACATAGAATGGTGTTGAAACAGAGATCTTATTAGGCGTCTAGAGCTATATATATTGGAAGAGAGAGAGAGAGAGAGAGAGAGAGAGAGAAGCTCTTTGAAGCGCTTAAAGAAAAATCATATTGGTTCATACGGCACTTCGAAGCATTTGTAGCGTCTGGATCGCATCCAAAAAATTGTCCAATGTTTTTATAAATAAAATGAAAGACGATCGCCGTTCTGCTTCCGATCACGCGGAAACAAAATTGGCCGTACCAACGGGTGTCTAAATAGAAAAAAAAGAGAGAAAAAAATCTCGCAATCTTGGTATGTCACCTACAATTTCCTATAAAATATTTAGATTTATTCCAGAAGACTCTTCGGGTGGGTGTTCCAATTGCATGTCGCCCGAACTTCCACGACGGATTCGCGCAAATTCAACAGTCGTAAAAGCCGACGAGCTGCTCGCTCTCATTCTCTCACCGCTGCACATTTCGCTCCGCTGTCGGTGTCGCGCTCGATCGCGCGTGCCACGCAACGTTACGCACGTTACGCTTTTGTACTGCATTTAGGGGTCGTCTACAATGCGGTCGCAGTTACGCGTTGAAGTCGCAGCACTAGTCTGGTCAGCTATCTTTTCTTCGCGCAAACTTGCGAAGAATGAAAGGTTTCATTGACGAGTTCAATGAGACTTTCTGTTCCTCACCAAGATTTAGGCGAAGGAAACAGGCACATGATGATCAGAGCAGGTAATGTGACTTTAAGACCACACTTTACTTGCGACGGTCTACACTGCAAACGACTCTTTACCTTATCAACGACGACGACGAGGACACGAGTCGACGCGAAATGCTGTATTCGGAGGCTTTGTAAACTGGCACGCCCACTCGCACTTGTGCGAGCGAACAGGTCGCTCGTGTTGCCGGTGATATCCGCGGTTATGTCGCCTAAGTGTGCCAAACTTCCGCCTCTCTCGTCCCCTTTCTCGTGAGCTTTCATTACAATCCATTTAATTCGCCGCGCGCGATCCTCCCGATCGACGTCGAGCGCGATCGCGACTGTCAACGCAACAATCGCAACGAGACATTTGCAAATCTCGCAGATGGATGCGCGAAATTCTCTCCTAACGATTCCGCAATCTTATCTCATTAGTGTCTGTCCCTGAAATTATCTGATTTCTAAAGATTTCTGAGGAATCGCAATGTAAGGCAAATCCGACTCTTTCTTCTTTCTTTCAATATATGGCTCCAGATGTCTAATAAAGCGATATCCCAACACCACTCTATGATAATTAGATGACAAAGTTTAAAGCCTTTTTGAAAATAATGCAAAGTATACCCAAAAAACACAAGTTTGAACACGTCCTTACGTAGCGGCAGTTAGCCCGAAATTTCAAACTCGAATATGTGTATGCACTCTTATCCCATTAATATCTGTCCCTGAAGTTATCTGATCTCTGAAGATTTCTGAGGAATCGCAATGTAAGGCAAATCCGACTCTTTCTTCTTTCTTTCAATATATGGCTCCAGATGCTTAATAAAGCGATGTCCTAACACCACTTTATGATAATTAGATGACAAAGTTTAAAGCCTTTTTGAAAATAATGCAAAGTATACCCAAAAAAACACAAGTTTGAACACGTCCTTACATAACGGCAGTTAGCCCGAAACTTCAAACCCGACTCGAGTGTGTGTGCTCTGTCGCGCTTGTAAATAAATTCAGTTCAAGGTGTCGCGCGACGCTCTGTTGTGTAAACTTCTGCCGGCAATAGGAAGTATCCCGATGGTATACCCGTCATGAGACGCCGAATACCGGTGAGATATCGCTTTCGCGAGACCACCACTGCTGCTGCTGCGAATCAATAAAGTCTCTCGCTTTATCGCGCGAGATCTTGCCTAGGCAACAATAAATCCGTAATTGAATCACCAGGCGCGATACGGTGCCGTGCCGCCGTCGGTTTATCGCGGCGGTTACGTCGTCGACCGGCACGGAGGGGTGGGGGGAGGGGAGGGAGGAAAAAATTGCGATCGAGATACACCGCCGGTGCACAACGGCGGCGGTGCACTTCATCGCTCGGTGACAAAAGCTCATTAGTGCGGCCTGAGCGAGCCTATCCGCTGGCCTTTAAAACGCATTGCGCATATTACCGGCGGGTGCATTACTCTGTCGCTGAGTGCGCGCTGGAATTCTGCAATGGACTTTCGCCAATGCGCCGGAAAACGAGCGAGAGCGCACGCTCCGCGTTGCATCGTGTGAAAAGTGACTTTCCGCCGCGGGAGGGAATTTTGTACCGATAGTCACTGCTCGAAACTTGTCCGCGTTAACAGCCAATACTTGAAACTTGTTTCATGCGATAAAAATACGCAGACATAAATTTAGCGTTAGATATTAGTTTTTTTACTTGAATTACATATAATTATATACGTCACGTTATATTTCTAATCACGATTCGGTTGAGGAATTTGGACCTAGCAGTAAACTCAAGTCTGAATATCTCACCTGAGGTAAGTTTCAAGCAACGACTATGGGTATGCTCTTCACTTGACGCTGCAAATGCTCCGGAACGCCGTATAGACCAATCATAATCGTCCTTTACGCGTTCCCAAAGCGTTTGTAACATTCAAGTGGATCCTACTTTGTTATGGGTCTCAATTTCAGCCGTTGATAAGACTGAAGCAGGTGCATTTAATCTTTGATATGTTATCAAGGTCCACAATGGAGCCAATTTTAGTCTTTAAGTTCCTTTTTTGAAGTTTTTAAAAAAAACCGGTATTTCGTGATTTTTGT